GCATTTATTAAGCACCTAATATATGCAGGCACTGTGTTAAGTGCTGGGGACACAAAAGGGAGACAGTCCTGTCTTCCAAAGGCTTACATTCTATGGGAGGTCAGGGGGAGAGGAAGGATATATACCTTGAGATAGATGGATATGTACATACATACATATATATACATATACACACACACACATATATAATATATATATGCATATATATTATATATATACATATATTATATATACATATTATATATATACATATATAATATATATACATATATGCATGCAGAAACAGACACAGACATAGATATAGCTGGAGATGGAGATGTTATAGATATAGATATAGGTATGAGTATAGGTTAGGTATGAATATCAGTCAGCTAGGTGGCTGAGTACTGGAGTTGGAAGGAAGTCTTGGGTTAAAATCTCATTTCAGACACATAATAGCTGTTTGACCCTAGGCAAGTCACTTCATTCATCTCTATGCCTCAGTTTCCTCATCTGTAAAATAGGAATAATAATAATAATAATAACAATAGCAGCACCTATCTCCCAGGGTCGTTGTGAGAATCAGACAAGATAACTTACGTAAAGCCCTTGGCAAACCAGAAAGCACCACATAAATGTATTAGGTATGAGGATAGGCTATAGTTAGAGACATGAGAATAGAGACAGAGATTAAGACTTTTTAACCTGGGATCCATGAAACCCCAAAGGGCCCATGGAGAGAGTTCAGGGGGTCTGTGAACTTGGATGGGGAAAAAGAAAATTACATCCTTAATTTCATTAACCTCTAAGAGAAATTTAGTATCTCCTTCGATTATGAATACAGGCAACAAACACTATCCTGAGAAGGGGCCCCTTGGGTTCCTCACACTGCCGAAGGGGCCTATGGCACAAAAAAGGCAATGTTGTTCTATTTTCTACATAGATCATAGGTTACATGCTTACATATACTATATTTACTTCGTATGGGCATACATAACAAGGGAGATATGTATATGAATATAAAAAACAAATACAAGGGAATTTGGGAAGAGGAGGTGGGCTTCTGGCTACTTGTCAAATTCTGAGATGTTTTAGTTGAGTTCTGGTTCTGTGCGTATGTATTAGGGGAGATGTGGATGGTGATGGAGGGTGTAAGAGTCAGCTAGGGGGTACAGTGGATAGAACTGTGGGTCTGGAGTCAGGAAGATCTGAGTCTGAATCCAGCCTCAGACACTTACTAGCTGTGTGACCTTGGATGAGTCACTTAACCTCTGTTTGCCTCAGTTTTCTCATCTGTAAAATGGGGTGTAATAATACCACCCGACTCCCAGGGTTGTGGTGAGGATAAAATGAGTTAATAGCTGTAAAGCACAAAGCAAGTAGTAGGTGCTATATAAATGCTAGCTATTATTATTATGGGTAGATGGAGACTTTTGTAGAATATTAGAATCAAAAAGTCTTAGAATTCTATCCTTGAATTCTGGAATCTGGAATATTACCACTTTTGTGATGAAATGCGAATTCCTTGGTGGGACATTTCTACAGACCTGGTAACCTTTTCTGCAAGATCAACGCCCCTAAGAATGAGAAATGCGGTCTGTAGTGCAAAAGACAGTTGGTCAGCCATAGAGGTCACCGTGCTCAATCTCTCCATTTTACAGATAAGGAAACTGAGGCCCAGGGAGCTCAGGCCTGAGGTCATACAGACATTGAGAGGAGAGATATGAGCCCAGGTCCTCTGACTGAAAAGTCAGTGCTCATCGCACTGGAAGACACCATAGAAGGGATGATCTAATCCTCGACCACATAAAATGTGGGGGGAAGGAAGAGGAGAGATTGGGAGGGGTGATGGGGGAGGAGGAGGGTTAGGGTTACTCGGGGAATGCACCTAAGGACCTACAGGCAAGCTTCAGGCAGGTTAGCTGTCAAGAGGACCTCTAAGGAGGAGGTCCACACACTTCACACTGTTGGCCTCAATTTCCTCATCTGTAAAAATGAGCTGGAGGAGGAAATGGCAAACCACTCCAGTATCTTTGCCACAAAAACCCCACATGGGGTCACAAAGAGAGTCAGACGCTACTGAACAACAGCACTCCCTTACAGGCCTGCAACCATTATAAAGCGTTCTAGAAATGGGAACCGATGTTTTTCCCATAGAAACACAGGCCGGTTTATTTTTCTATCATTACATCGTTCTCAGTAGATGACCTCGAATTAAGGGAGAGGATGGAGACAGCTCTTTCTTGGGGAGGGAAAAGGTTTTGAAAGAGAAGTCAATAGAAAATTCCTTTGGGAATGCCAGCCTCCAGAGCTAGGAGCGCCAGGCATGGCTTGGAATTTTTCCCACCCCTGGGCCCGTTCCATTCAATTTAAGCCCACACCTGGTAGCTGAAGAAGGACCAGTTCACCCAAGAGCTAATGTCATTGTTTTCTGTTGCTAACCAATCCAAACAGGCTGCCCCACCCCCACCCCCACACACCCCAAAGTCCTTTCTCCAGCCCCTCAGAAAGCTTGCGAGGCACAGCTGGCTCTATCCCATGGAGTTCTTAATCTTTGCTGCGAAACCCTTTGGAAGGTTTTTTTTAAAAAAAATAATTGAAGGAAATGCCTACTTCAGATACAAGTTAGTGAAAACAAAGGTGAATATTTTTTCCCCAAAGAAGTTCATGGACTCTTCGGGTATGGAGAGCTCAGCGTGGCAGAGACAGTAATAATCTTGCAGGTGATTAGGAGGAAAGTACTTTGTAAACTTTACTTCTCTGGATGTAGGGATCATAGGGTTCAGAGCTGGAAAGTATCTTGGAACAGAGACTGTCAGAGCTGGGAGAGTCCTTAGAACAGGGAATGTCAGAGGTGGGAGGGCCCCTTAGATTAGGGGATGTCAGGGCTGGAAGGGGCCTTAGAACAGGGGATGTCAGAGCTGGGAGGGACCTTAGAACAGGGGATGTCTGAGTTCAGGAGGAGCCTTAGAGATTCAATTAAATTTGACCAACATTTATTAAGTGCAGGCCACTAGGTGGGGTAATGAAGAACAAATACAAAGTTTATTTGAGTTTTCACTTCCTCACAAGGCAGTTTGTAAAAAGAAGAGCAAGGGGGGGAGAGGAACATTAATGAGTGGTAAAGCTGGTGTGGAGGCTAGAGTCAGGAAGACTTGAGTTCAAATCCAGCCTCAGATACGTCCTTTGTGGCCCTGGGCAAGTCATTTACCCACTGTCTACCTCAGTTTCCCCATCTGTAAAATAGGGATAATAACAGCACCTACCTCCCAAGGCTGTTGTGAGACAAAATGAGATAATATCTATAAATCTCTTTGCAAACCTTAAAGCAGTATATAAATGCTAACTACTTTTAAGATTAAAAAGCTCCCCCCATCCTCTTCTACTTAATTATAGACCTAGAAAAGAACTTAGTTTAAGCTTCTCATTGACAGAAGAGGAAACAGAGAGGTTAAGTAGTTTGCCACATGTCTCTCAGCTACGAAGAAGCAACCATCTGAGGCCCCTTCCCACTTTAAATCTTATGGTACAGTCAGTTCAAGAGAAAGAGGGAAGAAGGAAGAATGAGGGGGCATGTATAATGCCAGAGCTATAGCCGGAAGGGTCCTTGGAGACCATCTAGTTCAACCTGCTCTTTTTACAGAAAGGTGTTCAGAGAGAGAAGTGAGGTGACCTGGCCAGAGGCACACAGCAAGGGAGGGAGGGAGGCAGGATTCTGATCCCTCCCTTTCTCACCCCGAGTTCAGCATTCCCTACCCTACAGAATACATTCTAGGAAATTCCTGGGCTTTCTCCATGGGCACTCCTGTCCCCACTCAGGACATATTCCCTGAAAGAAGCTATTGGAAAATTCCTTTATAGCCATTGTCTCCTGGAGCCTGTCAGGCTGGGAACAGAAGCTACTCAGAGAAAGAAGGGATTCTTCCCCCAGGGAAGTGAACCAGGCTTTAGTCGTACACCTAATCAAAAAAAAAATCAGCCGCAAACAAGTGGGCAGCTTCCAGCCCCCGCTAGGAATGCGTTATTCTCCATAATGTCATATATTACCAAGGACTCAGTGAACTAGCCCCGCCTCCCTGCCCTTTACCTGCAGCTGGATCAAAGCGTTCCATCTAAGGTTTCTGCTACTAATTTCCCTCTTGCTGGGCAAGTCTACAGCTTCCTGGGCATCGTGAGCACGGACCAGAAGGTCTAGCGCTGCCAAGAGGGATGGAAAGCTATCAACCAGTTGGGGTAGTACAGGCAGAGCTGACTCTGGAGCATCTCTGCACCTATGTGGTGGCCAGGCTTCTGTAAATTCTCTCAACCCTTCTAGGGAGACAGCCTGGGGGCAAGAAAGAATCCTGGCTGAGGATTCACAGGGCAATGAGAATCAGGAGAAATCTAAGAACATGGAAAGTCTGAGATGGGAGGGACCTTAGCAAAGAAAATGTCAGAGACTGAGAATCCTTGAGAACAGAGGATATCACGTCTGGGGGACCTTAGAAAGGAGAATGTCGGGGCAGCTAGGTGGTCCAGTGGATAGAGCACCGGTCCTGGAGCCAGGAGGACCTGAGTTCAAATCTGGCCTCAGACACATACCACTCACTAGCTGTGTGACACAGGCAAGTCACTTAACTCCATTTGTCCTCACCAAAAAAGAAAGAAAGAAAGAAAGAAAGAAAGAAAGAAAGAAAGAAAGAAAGAAAGAAAGAAAGAAAGAAAAGAAATTAAAAAAGCAAGGAGAATGTCAACAGTGGAAGACAGAATATAGAAATGGCAGAGCTAGAAGGACCTGAGAATATAGAATGTCGCAGCTGAAAGGCACCTAAGAACATGGAATATCAGATCAGGAGGGAATGTCAAAGATGGATAGAATGTCAAAGGTGAAAGGGATCTGAGAACAATGTCAGAGCCATAAGGGATCTTAGAACATAGAACTTAGAACATAGAATGTCAGCACTAAGAGTGACCTTATAACAAAATATCAAAGTTATTTTTCAGATGGGTAAACTGAGACCCAGAGAGGGGAACTGTCTTACCCAAAGTGACACAGCGAATCTGTGGCAGATGCAGAACTAGAACTCGGAGTCTTCAGGCTCAGAGCCCCAAATTCCTTCTGCTGCCCCAGTGGTGATGATCCAACTACAAAAATTCCAGCAGTGCCGGAAAAACCTCCAGACACAGCTTGTCTCAATCACAGCCACCTCCTCACATGGCTTTTCCACGGAGGACCAGCCCAGGATGATCAGGTCCTCTCCTCAGCCGATAGCAATGGAATGCAGTCCCTGCCAGCTGAGGGAAGTTTGCTAACACCAAAGAGCTGAAGACTTAGACTCTCTGGAGCCCCGCATGCCTGGGATCCCTGCCTTCTTCATCCTTTCCTCCTCAGCCACAGGATGCAGCTGCTAAGACCACTTCTCTGTCCCTGACTCGCTCCAGTCAAAAGTGACAAGCAGATGGCTTTCACAATTGCCACACACACATATTCAGAGACCCATTACTTCCTCCCACTCTGGGGGCTCATGGGAGTAAGCCAGAGAGCCCTCAGTGTCTGGTATGTGGTGAAAGTTTGTTGACTGACTGACAGTCCACAGTCAGCTTTTGCAGAGAAGAACACTGAGGCCAGGAACAGTGAAATGAAAGGTCATATAGCTGTGGTACATCTGACCCTTCTCTCAATGCAATGTTTACCTTTTCATCATGAAGATAAAAGCATTAGCCTCAAGTGCTCAGCTGTGGGGAGTGACTGAGATATAAGTGGGGCACAGGGTCTGAGACAAAGAAGCAAGTGGGGGGAAGGATGAATGAATGAATAAAACATTTATTGAGTACTTACTACGTGCAAAATACTGTATTAAGCACTAGAGATACAAATGGAAAAGTCAGACGTCCCTGTTCTCAAAGATTTCTCATTCTAGTGGGGAGACAACACACAAGGAGGGTTTCAACTACAAATCAGACAGAAAAAAGTCCCATGGTCCTTAGGGTACATTAGGAAGGAAATTCGTGTTTATTAAGCACCTACTACGTGCCAGGCCCTTGCTAAGAGCTTTACAAAGATGTTCTCATTTGATCCTCACAACCCTGTGAGGTAGGTACTGTTATTATCCCCATTTTACAGTTGAAGAAACTGAGATGGACAGAGGTTAAATAGCTTGCTCAGGGTCACACAGCTAGGAAGTATCTGGGGCTGGATTTGAACTTGGGTCTCTCTGACTCCTGGCCCAACACTCTATCCACTGAACCACCAGCTGTCAGGCTCATGGTAATGCCTCTTCTTTAAGGATATGATCATGGTGAGAAACTGGCCTAAAATTTGTCCCTTTTATATGAGAGGGGAGGTCCAGGCCTATGACGTTCACTGTTGGAAACTCCTAGTGTGGAAATTCTACCCACTAATACAGAATAACAACTCCTCTAGAACTTAGAGAACTGTCTGAGGGGGAAACAGCAGTTAATGCTTTTTACTAGCCCTGTCCACAAAACCTCAGTGGATGAGGTAGGAAATGGACGCCCTGGTGTGAACCACAGTTTTCTCATCTTTCCAATGAGGACAATGTTCCCGGCAGTTTCTAGTTTACTGGACCCCTCAGGGGCTTAAATGAGACAACAGAACAAGACAGGGATTTTGTAAAGTCCAAGGGGTCAGACAGATGTGAGGATCAGTCATGAGTCACTGAGGAAGGCCTGAGTCTGAGAGCGCTAGGGATGGAAGCCTGGGAGCGGGCTCCCAGCCCAGCCAAGGCTGCAGCGTGGATGCCGCTGTGAAATCTACCTGTCCCTCGGGGGCAGAGAAACAAAGCGGGGGCTCCCATGCTGGCCTCCCCAGCTCCCTCCAGAATGGGAAACAGGCTGGGCTTGGCAGGAGCCAAAGACACAGAGCCCCCAGCTGGAGCAATTTCATCTAGGCCTGTTCTTCCTGAGGGGCCTTGGGGAGGAAGAGGATTCAGGAAGGGGCTGAGCCATCTCTAGGCCAGTCTGACCTGTAGTCTCCCCCACCTCCCATCCCCACTTTCCTTCTGCTTGTGACCTTGGACTCGTCATGGTCCTTATCTGGGCCCAACTGCTCATTCTACTGAGGAGGAAACTGAGACCTGGTGAGGTTGGAACTTTGCCAAAGCTTCTTTAGGTATACAAATGGTAAATGAACTTCTTCCTAGCTCTGATAACTCATGCTCTAAGGCCCTTCCCAGCTCTCACATTCCCTATTCTAAGGCCTTTCCTAGCTCTGACATTCACTGTTCTAAAGCCCTTTCCCTGTTCTAAGGCCCCTCCCAGCTCTGCCATCCTCTGTTCTAAAGGCCCCCATCTCTGACATTCCCTGTTCTAAGGCCACCCCAGTTCTCACTTTGTATATTCTACAGCCCCAACCTGTCCGGACATCCTGTGAATCTCGGATTCCTTCCCAGACTCTAGATGGCCCGAACCCTTATGCTGACTGTTCCTGTGTTGTGTTCCCATCACGTCCCATCTGCTCTCCATCAGCCTCCTTGACTCGCAAGCTTTTCCAACCCTGAGTGTCTCATTTGTTCTCAATTCTTTGTAATTTGGCCGTGGTTGGGGGTAGGATTGTAAGGAGAGAGTAGGAAGATGTAGTAGAAGGGGCAGGGGAAGGCAGAGGCCAGGAGGGAAACCTGAAGCCAAGTCCCTGAGGATAGCTCATCCTCCCCACATGTACACCCACCCAACCTGGACACTGGGAAGCACCATTGGCCCAAGCTGGGTGAAAAAGAATGAGGAAGCCAGGCCCAGCCCTCGGCAAAACTGGGAAACCAGCAGTGTTAAGATCTGGCACTTCTCATTCTGAAACTGAAACCTTACATTGTGCCAAGGGTAGGGCTGGGGGAGATAGGAAATCCGGGGGTCTGTGTGTTAGCTCTGGGAGACTGGGCAGGACAGTTCCTCTGACTGTGCCTCAGCTTCTTCCATTGTAAAATGAGGAGAATGGACAGAATCATGTCAAAAGTCAGAGGATTATAAAATTAGAGCTGGAAGGATCCTGGAATTCATTTTATACAACCCCCTGCCTCATCTGACATAGGAAGAAACTGAGGTCCAGCCAAGAGGTCAGGAGATGTGTGCAAAGCTAGTAAGCTGTCAAGTCAGAATTTGAATCCAGGTTCTGAGACATTAAATCCAGGACTTTGTCCGTTACACCACAGATGTTGACAATCTGTAGTCTATATTCTATGTGCTAAGCTCCCTTCCTGATTACAGCTACGTTCTAAGGTCCCTCCCAGCTCTGACGTTCCCTGTTCTAACGGTCTAATATTCCCTCTTCTAAGGCCCCTCCTAGCTCTGTCCTTCTGTGTTCTAAGGCCCCTCTCAGGTCTGACATTCCTTGTTCTAAAGCCCTTCCCAGCTCTAACATTCCCTGTTCCAAAGCCCTTCCCAGCTCTAACATTCCCTGTTCCAAAGCCTCTCCCAGTTCTGACAGTCTCTGCTTTTGTTCTAAGCATCTCTAAGAGCCCCTAAATGGGCCGTGGTCTTTGCTGTATGATTCTATGTCCTCTGCTTACCAGGTAGGGGGGGCATGACCTGTTGTCAGGACCATTTTGCAGCTAGGAAAACTGAGGTGGAGAACAGACAGAGGGCATGCCTGAGGGAGCTCTCTGTGTGAACAGCCTGCTCAAACCAGATGCTCAGAACACCCTCCACCCATGGTGCTTCCAGCCCCTCCTCCACCCTCCTCTCCCCTCTCCAGCTCCTCCAATTACTCCTTTCTTAATACAGTTGAAGCTTCTGCCTGATTGACCCAGATCCTCGGCCAATGAGGCAGCCCCTTGCCACAGTAAGACACAAAAACACATTTCATAAAGAAATCTGACAATTACCCAGACTCCCTGAAGACCCTTTCTTGACGTCAGTAAGCTGCTGGATTGGCAGAGAGAGAAATAATGAATGCTGGTCTCCTGGACCTTTCCCCACATGCTGATGACTAGGACTTGGCTGGGGGGCATTGAGGTCGACGACTTGGGGGGAGCAGATGGCTGGTGGCTCTAGGTCAGAAAGACCACACGCTTGAGAAGGTCCCAGTAGCCAAAGCTGTGGGCCATACTTACACATTTAACCACACAAGCAGCAGGTGGGATGCTAAGATCCACGCCAAGAAGGTATAAACAAGTCGCTGAGGGTCCTAACACTACCCTTCCAGAAATTGGAAAGGCAACTGACTGCCTAAGAACAGGAACAAGAAACCTGAGTTCAAGTTCTACCTCTGATATTTACCACCTATGTGGCCTTGGGCAAGTAACTGACCTCTCAGAACCTCTGCTTCTTCATCTGTAAAATGGGAATAACAATTTGTGTAGTCCCTCACAGGGCTACCATGAGGCTCAAATGAAACCAAATAACATGGGTGTACAATGCGCTGTAAATCTTAAAACGCCTTTAAATGTTGGGGCTTATGATGCCATGAAGGTTGACTCTGGAAGAGTTGAAAAGAGCAGGGCAGTCTGGGTATGTAGCCTGTCTGTCAAGAGCTGCAGGACAGTTGGTCCAGTGCCTCATTTCCGTGCCTCATCAGGGGTTTCCTGAAATATCCTGAAACATCATTGGGATGTTTGCTCCTGACTAGATGGAAGCTTGTGCTGGCCTGAAGCTCGGGGAAATGTGTGACAGGTAGATCTCTGTTCAGAGTTGATAGGCTCTAGGACAGATTGCCAGGGGTGGGCAGGGTGGGAAGAAGGGTGGATGAGCAGGCCTCTAGGACTGGGGGAAGAAAGTGACCCATGGTTTGGAGAGTTCTGCAAATACGTAGGGAGTTCAGCAAGAAAGCTGAGACCTCAGATGTTCTCCCTTGTTTATTATTTTATCAGTCATGTCCTACTCTTCCTACATGACCCTCTTTGAGGTTTTCTTGGCAAAGTTACTGGAGTGGTTTGCCGTTGCCTTCTCCAGCTCATTTTACAAATGAGGAAACTGAGGCAAACAGGGCTAAGCCCAGGGTCACATAGCTAGTATCTGAGACCAAATTTGAACTCAGGTCTTCCTTACTCCAGGTCCGGTACTCTATCCACTGTGCTGCCTAAATACTCTCCCTAGGGGCCAGAAATTCTGGGTATGTGCCACCTCTTCCTTGATTGACCTGCTTTAAGCAAACTATTAGGAATTAAGAAACCAGCCTGCAACTAGAATCCTACAAGCCAGAAACCATGAACCCACTAAGTTTGCTTTCTTTTTCTCCAAGATAAATGTCCCAAATTTTTTTTTAACTAATTCTTTTTTTTTAAGCTAGACAATGGGGTTAAGTGACTTGCCCAGGGTCACACAGCTAATTTAAGTGTTATATGTCTGAGGCCAGATTTAAACTCAGGTCCTTCTGAATCCAGGGCCAGTGATCTATCCACTGCACCACCTAGCTGTCCCTTTTTAACCAGTTCTTATCTGGCATTATTTTGGGTCATCCTCACCAGCCTGGTCACCCTCCCAATTGATCAATAAACATTTGTTAAGCACCTACTATGTGCCAGGCACTGTGCT